CTGAAATGGAGATTTAGAACTTTTCTTTCATAATATTCAAGTCTATTCATGAAAATTTTAATGAGAAAAGTTTTTGTTCGATACAAAGTTTTATAATTTTTAAAATGATGAAGGGTAGTGGATGAATAGATGGATAGATAGAAGATATAAAAGTCTTATAAAATCATCTTTTGATTTTAATCTCTTTTCATCCTTTTGCTTGCTCTTAAAGAGATTATCAAAAGTAAAAAAAGTAATCCTATCTTACTCTACAATCTTAAGATTTGAGTTGTCGAGCTAAGAATAATTTTGAGCGATTTCTCTTCTTCTGAGAGAAATTCGCAGAAACTGTAATTAGACTTTTGATTTCTTCTGACTTTTCTAAAATTATTTTTCATTTCTTTTTATATTCTTCAGACTGGTTCAGACTATTAATTAAATTACTTTCTTACTTACTTCGCCGTACAGATCAATTCTGATCCACGGCCTCCCTTTATATTGCTCCTAAAGCTGGCTCTATCGCTGGCTACCGTTTGCCAATTACCCATACCAAAAGTAATACTGTCTTTGTCAGTATTACAGCTTCTTTCCAAGAGTTCTTAGAACGCTCGCATGATCTTTTGCCATCTACAAAAGCATTCTTAAAGACTTTATTAATCGGAGCTTCAACAGGTCTCCTAACGACATTTCCATTTTAACTTAATTAAATTAATAAGTATTTTTATTCAAATTCCTTTGCCAAGTTTCTTCGACGACTCAATATGATTCTGCGGTCAAAATAACTTTTGTTTAAAAATCATAACTATTCTTTAGCAGAGCTCGAAGTTGACTCGAGTTGACTTGTGTTGATTCGAGTTGAATCGGTTTTTTTTGGGTCTAGAGAAAAGTCTAGAGAAAAGTTGAGTCGACTTGGTTTTGAGTCAAGTCGAGTCAACTTGAGCCGACTCGAACCCTATTGAGCTCTGTTCTGTAGAATACACTGGTGGAAATTTAATTGAGACACCCATGTTTTTTATGTGAAAGTCTTACAAATGAAAGATTAAGCCTTACTTGTTATATATCATTGGAAAGGATTTTAAAAAATAACTTAGGCACAGGAACAATGTACTGACTAAAAATGTAGCAGTTTAAAGTTATTTACAAAATATGATTTTTGAGGTGGAAATTGAATTGAGACACTTTTGAAAAATTTACAAAAATCTTCCTCAATTTTGACTTCACCTGTAAATATTGCATATTGACTTAAAGATTTTTACTTTCTTAACAATACTAGAGCATTCTAAAATTTTTTGGAACTTCCAATCATCTAATATCCTCAAGAGAAAGTAGTGAAAGCCAGGTTTTTTGTTTTCATCAAATATTTTTATGAATAATCATCTATTAATAACAAATAAAATCAAAATATGTAGATTTTTAAACGCTCTTTTAGATAAAGAATAAAAAATTAGCTTAACATAAACACAATTCACAAAAATTAATTAAAATGTATTTCACAAGTGAGTACAAATAGGAAAAAATTAATTTTTCTCTTATTTTGGCTAGTCAAAAAAATCTTTACTTTTCAGGACACATTCTGCATTGCCTTTACTATAAGTTTTTAATGCCATATATTTTTTATCTCCATCCATAAACGCTGGGGATAACATTTAATTCATTATGAAATTTCAAAATATCATATTCCATAAATTTTTCGCATTATTAATGCAAAAATTCAAATCAAAAAATTCCGGTAAAATTTTCTTATTTTTTTCATTTATTAATACTTTATGGACATAAAACGTATGTATATTACATTTAGAGAATCATGCACTATGTTTAAGATATTATGCTATCAGGATAATTTAATTATACTAGGTTTTAGTGTTTTTGTAACGGTCAAAATTTTTGAATTTACTATTGCATCTTTTTTCTAGCCTAAAATTAATGGTGTAAACAAACAATAATTAAATTGTCCTGATATTATAAGGATACTTTAGTATCTTAAACTTAGATAAATTTTTCAAAAGTGTCTCAATTCAATTTCCACCTCAAAAATCATATTTTGTAAATAACTTTAAACTGCTACATTTTTAGTCAGTACATTGTTCCTGTGCCTAAGTTATTTTTAAAATCCTTTCCAATGATATATAACAAGTAAGGCTTAATCTTTCATTTGTAAGACTTTCACATAAAAAACATGGGTGTCTCAATTCAATTTCCACCAGTGTACTGTCAATATCACAAAACTTCATCCAACAATTCACAACATTTCAAAATTAAATCTTTTAAACAATTTAAAGACTCAAAAACATCGAGGTATGTAAATTCTACCCACAAACAAGCCTTCATCCAAGTCTTCTTTTGTTCTTTAATTATCTTTAATCTTTTGGTCTTCAGCTTGCGAGTTGTGTTTCATTAAAATTAGATTTTATCATTCTCGCATTTATCGAGATTAAAAAAAATTCTTTATTCAACTCAAGCCTCTCCGCAATTTCTCTCGCCTTTTCCCTCTCATTCTCGGGCGTTGCTAATTAATTTTAATTGATTTTAATAACATGAGCAAACAAAAAATGCTCCATGCACGTATGTGAATATTTCTGCTTCTTTTGTTTCAAATTCAACAAAAAAGAGGGAACGGAAGGAATGCAATTTTTCTTTCTATTTCGACACCCTAATCACTACAATTCGTCCCTTTGCCAAATGCTACTGATATTGTTGCTTTATATTATACAAAAGTAGGAAAGCAAACATTGGAATTGAAAAATGCTGGTGAAATATTCATTGCATTCAACTGTATACATCCTATACTGCTTTTTTTATTTACTTTAAAATTCCTTGTTGTTTATTTTTCATATTTTTTTGTATCTCAATAAATATGGCAATTCCTCGTGCTCATCTATAAACGAATTCAATAATACAAAATAATATAAAATAACAAAAGAAATGAAAATTCATGAAATTATGAGAGGAAAATAAGATTGGAAGGGAAGTAGTTTGATTTGATGTTGGTCAAGGCGCATTTATGTTTGTAAGAAATTGTAATTACTTATCCTAATATCCAGTTTTTGGATGCAAACCTTGATGCCAATTATACTTTAGTTTTGACTCCTGTTACTTATAATCATTGTTAAGATCCAATAATACGCCTTCTAGTTACTGATTAACGTTTATAAATAGTGTAATTAAAGTATTATCAATAGAGTCTTAATATTCAACGCTGCCAACCTATATTGAATACCAGAATACTCTCTGTCATGCATCAATTGTCAGTAATTCATACGACAAATTATTAATACCAAATTCTACTTTCAATTCACAAGCTACACCAGAAATCGAATTCGTTTGCCTTCTGGTTACGTTGCGGCGAAATTAGAGCTGGATTGAACACAATTTTGGTTCCTCCCTTAAAAAAAATTGGATTTCCAATGAATATTTATTTGTGATTCATAATTAATTTCATTAGTTCGTAATTTTGGAAATAGAAATTTCCTCTAAAAATCAAGAAAATAAAAAAATGAAGCTACGCAGTTCCAAATTTACAGTAGGCAGCAGCAAAGACTTTAGTTTAATATTACTTTTTGTTCATTCGAGACTCAAAAATAATTACTCAAAGTTTCACATTTTTCCACTTTTCTTATTCTATTCACTTCGACTTAATGAAAATCTTCTTCCTTTGTCAATATTAATTTTGATGATAAATCTCTTCTGTTACTGAATAGTACCGCTATGTGGAAACAAAAAACTTTTTTTTTCTGTGTAATTAAATATTCATGAAGATGAAAGAGACGAAGGAAATAGCAACAAAGAAAAAAAGAATCTTATCCTCTGCTATTTTTCAACTTTCTTTTTCCTTTTTGAGGTTTTAAACAATTTGTCTGTTTTGCTTGTACGGGGGATGTTAAGAATAAAGATGAGAGGAAATTCAAGATATTTCAACAAATATTGAAGCCGAATTAAGGACTTTATAAATTTTGATTAAAATTAAAATTTACAGCTACAAATTAAAATATTAATTTAATCTACTAATTGAATAAATCTCTTTAATTGGGGATATTCTAATGTAAATTATCAATTAAGCGTAATTAGAAGGATGCTAATTGAATCTTTGAATTTAAAAGAATTTCATCGTATTTTAGCAAATCTAATTCTTGATTACTTTAATATTCAACAGAAAAAGTAAGATCTGAATCTCGAGTTCATTTGTGATATATGGCTTCTGGTTGATGTCTTAAAAAGGCTCGATCGGTTGTTTCTTACCGACTTCAAAGTTAGTAATGTTCCGCTTAATGTCAGCCTAAAGTTGAAACATCTTAAAAAGTTTACTTTCATAAATCCCCATTTGTGAATAGCCTCAATATTGTAACCTTGTTTTTAAAATTGTAAGTCCAAAAATATTCTTAAAAGATGGATCCAGTGAATTTTTAAGAATCCATTACATCTTATTCTACATAATCAAATTAGCATAAATCTGGAGTTTTTCAAGTTACATACATGCATAAATTCATAAAAAAGATTCATAATTTTACATGTTTCCTTCCCAGTAAATCTCATATCAGACCCCAAAGGTATCGTTTCCATTCTCATTTAAATACATCTAAATTCTTTTATTTGATCCTTAGTCTGTGCTAGCAACGAAAGTTAAAAGAAATAGCCTCAAGTAATTTTCACATCCTCGAGGATTTTTTGAGAAATAAATTTCGTATTTGTTTGCTGGCATCAGTAAGCATGTCTTTTGAGACAGTTTCTTATTATGCGAGTATTAAGTCTGATGAACATTTTTATACAGATTCAAAGTTTTTTTTTTCTTTACTTTTTTCAATGCTAGAAATTATTTTTGATCAATTTAGGATATAATCAATAAGAGCCTACCTACTTTAAATAAATCAAGACTAATCATAGCTTCCAATAACAAGATCAAATGCGCTTCAACTCAAACAATCGAACTCTATATTTCCTACAAACTTTATTTCAACAAAGAAAATAAGAAATTTCTTTGTTGTTCCTTATAAATTTTTAATAAATTTTCATTTTATTCGAAGAATTCCTTTTGTAAATACTTCCAATGGAAAGTCAAGAAAACATTAAAGATGAGTTTGAAGGAGGGCAATATTGTTTTGAAAATAAGCACAAAGTTGTTGGAGAGCAGAATAAAAAATCAATTTAAACCCACGCTGGAAAATATTACTTTGTAGCTCGTAGCATTGCAATAAATTCTTCAAAATTTAATTTTCCATCACCTTTGAAGCAAGTTCAAGTTAAATAAATTCAAAAGTAATTAATTCATTACTCACCGTCCACATCAGCATCCTTTAATATCTCATTCATTTCTTGATCAGTGAGCCTTTCACCTAAATTTGTCAATACAAATTTCAATTCATCAATCGAAACAAATCCATCTCCATTTTTGTCAAATACTTGAAATGCATCCCACATTTCTCGTTCCTCATCTTCTGGAGATTTTACTATTCCTCCCATCATTTTTAGGAACTCATCAAAGTCAATTGATCCACTTCCATCGGCATCAACTTCATTGATCATGTATTGAAGCTCAGCTTCTGTTGGATTTTGACCTAATGTTCTCATGACATCACCTAATTCAGATGTTGAGATACTTCCATTACTATCTTTGTCAAACAATGCAAATCCATCCTGAAAAATAGAAATTAACATTTTAAAAATTTAAAAAAGCCACAAAATTTCAAATTTCTTACTTTGAATGATTGAATTTGTGCAGGAGTAAGTTTGTCAGCCATTTAATAAGGTTTGATTTTTGTTTTTGTGACAGATTTAAAAGTCTTTTTAAATTTTTTTGTACAAGAATTTAAAAATGTGAAGCTAAATTGAAATATTAATTATGTTAAATGATTTTTAAAAGTTTGCTGAGTTGAAAGAATCTTTATTGATTTTAAAAAGTGTTGACAAGTTTAATGCACACACAATAATCTTCAGAAGATTACTGGATTGTACAAAAGATATCAAAAAATCCTAAATAATTCCTACAATTTATAAAATAAGTTTTTTTTATAGATTTAAGGTTTCATGGAATTTTATCTTTTTTATGTAGAGAAGTAATAAAATCAATAAAGAACCTCCATATGAACAATCTACTTAAGGGTACTTAAAACATATCAAAAGCTGTTCATCATTCATTTTTTTATGTCTCGAGAATCAAAGTTGAGCATCCATCAAAATGGAAAAGCTCATCAGGATCTGATTAAAAGAAACTCATTTCTCATTTATCTCAGAAATTACAAGAATGAAGAACATAAAAGAGTGCCATAATTATGATTAAAATTACAACCAATATTTTTTTATCTTCTTTATTTCGATAGATGAAAGACTTCTGTAATCGACATCGTTTGTCATTTCTCATTCAATACTCTGATTTATTTTCACGATAGTAAAAATGCTAAAGGGCACAGTCAATAAAAAGTTAATAAATCTAAGCAAAGAATTTCTCTGTGTTCTGTTTAATGGCAGTATAAAAAATTACTTCCTCATTCCATTCTTTATGCTTTAACGTTCTCGCATTTTTTTCCTTCCCTTTTTTTAGAGGGTGTCGGTTCTTGAATGCTCAATATCATTAGAAGTGGCGCATGATAGCTCACTTTTTTCTTCCTTCTTCCTCTGTCTTAAAATAGGAGGAATTCACCATGAATGAGTCATCAGCATTATTATCATCAAATTTATACTACAAAATTTCCATTTATCTACTCGCTACTCAATTTTATCACCGTTGCTATACTTAATGCGACCATGACATGCACAAGAAAGAAAATTTGTAAATGAATGAAATTTTCTTCTTGTTCCTGTATTATTGCCAGCCCTAGCTAAATATTGTTTTACTCCGCAAGCTTTTAATAATCATAAAGATATAGAAAATAATCAAAAAAATCAAGCATGGAATTTTTTAATAAACACAAAAATAAGAAACAAGAAGAAATATCGTCATCATAAATGTCATAATTGTCTTCCATTGGAATCCACAATCATAATCTAAAATATTTATCACACTTTACGGGAACTTGAACACATGTTGTGGACAAAGATAGCAATAAAAAGAAGAAGAGAAAGGTGGGAAAATTGGTATCAGGAAAATCGATGAGAAATTCCATGGGAGGTTGAAATGCAGCAGTTGGCATCTCAATATTATTGTGCATTATGCAATTCCATGAATTTTCTCCTCAATGTCACTTGCATTTCCTTCTTCTTTTTGCATGAATTACTGTCTGAAATAGGAATTCAATTAAGGAATAATATGTGCAGTCATTCTCAATAACCAGACTATTCTTGTAATGCAGTAATGGTATTTGATATAAAATAGATTAAAAGGACATTATTGAAGTGAATTATGATGCCAATTTAGTCAATAGCAATGAGATATGATGCCAATAATTCAATAAATTTCTGATCCATTTTTATAAACTTGTTTTTTACCATTTGAAAAAGAAGAATAAAGGAAGAAAGAAGATTGAAGGGAGCCATCGACATAAATATAAAAATATCATTTCTTTATTTCATTCATTTTATGAGACGGAAAGTTTATGAGAAGGTTCGACTGTATTTAGAAAGAAATAGAAAGAAAAAAGACATTGAGGGAGGAAGTAAATAGGGTTCAATACCATAAACACAGCAAGAAGAACGTGAAGCAAGTTGAGCAATCATCTAGCAAAAGGCTCATCTCACATACAGGCACAATCTTACCCTTTTCCATGAATTTCGATTCAATGATCATTTTCAATGAAACGAAGGCTCAGAAGTCGAAAAAAGGAAGCCCACAAATAAAGATAATTTACAAGCCAGCAAAAGGAAACAGCAGAAAAATTGTGGCAAATGATGGAAGGAAGAAAATTAAGATTCCGCAGCAGTATTCAATTAAAAGTTTAATTCCACTTTACTTTCAATTCCATTTCTTACTGTTGGTACTTTTTTTGCAACTTTCAGTGCTTACCATTGAATCTTTAAAAATGTTATGACTAGCTACATGCTTCATGATTGTTGCTGGAAGCTTCAGTCTTGACTAGAAAGTAAGCAAGTAGAAGGAAGAGTAAGAGACTCAACTCATTTGAGACGTCAAGTAAGAAAGTAGAAAATGAAAGGAAAATGGAGATGAATAATTTATAAGATGAAAGTGAATGCAATTACATTTTAGACAGCAGCTATAACCCCACTGATTTATTTACAATTTTTCCTTTACTCCACCTTCTATTTCCTTAAGAATTTTCATCTCTTTTTGCTCACAAATATTTATTTCACACATTTGAATGCTTATACACATGCATGCTATAACATTTCCCATGGAACTTAATTTTTTAACAGAAAAGGTCAAATCTTAGATCGTTCTTGCTATAAATATTACCAGTTCCAGTTTATGCATCTTTAAATCTCCAGCACTTCCTATATCTCGTACCAATTAAATTGTTTGGTGACTGAAATAATTTCAGGAGGAATCAAATTATCACCTTACAAAGTATGGGTCTACACATACGACCTTAATTGTTGATGTATCAACTAGTTGTGTTATGCACATCCATAAATATTCAATTTCTACCATCCATCCATCTTACTTCTTATTTTCCCTGAATCTAAACAGTGAAACTCAAAAAACGTGTTCAATTCACCGATAAATGCACCAACAGTGGATCAAAATTCATTCATAGCTGAAACATTTTTTAACCTGCAGCAGAATATTTTGTAAGGAAGGATGAAGCAAGAGTAGAGAAAAATCAAAACATGGAAAATCGATTTCTCGTACAACTAATGATTCTGGAATGAACATAGTCTCTGTTGTGTTAGTTCTTGCCTTACTGATTTCATAACAGGATAATTTAAGGACATCACTAGAAATGGAATTGTTGCAGTTCCTTCATAACTATCCAGTTCTATTTTTCTTATATTTGAGGACATCTAAGTTATAAATAAATCACGGCAGAAGAAAGAAGTAAATAATTATGAAAAAGAATAAGCATGAAATTTCTCATGACGCGCATTTGTTATGCTTTGACAAATATCTTAATTAATTTAATTCTCTCTGTGCTTATTTCTCGTTCCTTCCTTTTGTTTTCTTGTTATTTACAGCTCTCTCTTTATAGTCTGTATTCACATTTATTAGATTAATTTCTTCAAGAATCTTGTGCATCATAGCTATTATGAGCTGAAAGCTTTAAAGCACCAAATTCGTCCCAATTCTGTCGCATAAACATTTTCCTTTTGTTCCTTTTAAATGGCACAAAAAAGTTTTAATAATTCTTTAGTAACGCATTGTATTGTGAGGCAAAGTTCTATAAAAACTCGTTACGTGCTGTATCAACGACAAGAAATGGAATTAAAATGACTATAAAATTATGAAAATGATAGAAATCCCTGAAGAGATACAAAAAAATATTATTTCTTGTCTTTTACTTATACTTCCTCAAATTATTTATTGTGAGACACTTAATATCAATTTAATTACCTTCGTAGGATTTTCTTTTGTTTTGTGTGTAGGTTGTGAGTTTGAAAATTTAATATTCAATTGGTGATTGACATAATTTTTTTTCAGCACCTTTACAGCCTTCAAATTCAAAGTTCGTTCAGATTTCATTCGACAACTCAACATACATAACATTTCCTCTCACCAATCTCATGCTGAACAGTTTGACGTATTTTATTCCACTTTTAAATCTTATTTTTGTTCCCACTACTCCAGCTCTGCTCGTAAATATATCGACAAAAATTGAAATAAAAATGAAAAGAATGCAAAACAAATGCGGACAAATTTTCTCCTTCAAGCATCATGTTTCGACATTCCTTAAAAGTAAGAGAAAAATTGGCAAAGGAAGAATAAAAGAGAAAATTTTTCTCTAAATATTTATTTTGCGTTTACTTTGGCTCAGATGCCAATACTTATACTTTTTTCATTTTTATTTCATGCTGTATACGCATATACAAATTTATTTTCCCATTTCACAGCCTAAAGGCATAGTAACGTATAAAATGTATGTGTATACAATTTTTCGCGAGTAGCTGGTGACTTGTAAGTGTTGTATTGATTTCATTTTGTCCTGACTGTTTAGTAGCTGAAAATTGGCAAATTGAACATTCTGGACCTTACTAGAATTTTATATTAAAAGTTCTAGCGATGTGAAGAGCTAATTCCATTTTGATCCATTTTATAGTAAGGCCAATAAACTGCTGAATGATGTTGACAATGTGGTAATATGACTCGTACTCATATTCATCGTTTCAACCGTTAAGCAATCAACAAAGCTACTTCTAGGGTCGGTTTTAAAGGAATCCTACTGTAGAATCGAAAATCGATATCCACACTTTTTTGTGGTAGATAAAATTGACCCATGACTCGAAAATTTCTCAACTTTGTTCCTTGAATGCGCTGTAAAGTCATAAATGTAGTGTCCACCACACTTTAACTTCCACTTCTGAACGCTAAGCGATGGGAAAATGTTTTGAAGGCTTCAAATGAAATTTTTCTTCGCTTTCACCGAAGACTGATGTTCCATTAAATGTAAATTGATATTTTTTCTCTTCTGCTGCTGCTCCTCTTGCTGCTACTTTTTATCTCAGTTGCAAAAAAACAGAACGAAACGAGAAAATTGAAAATTCTGAGTGAAGAGAAAAATTCATCCATTCAATCTTATGAATATTTTACCGTATTTTTTTTCCTTTTTAGATATGTACATAAGGAGATATAGGAAAGCAAGTGAAATATTTCAACGAGAATCTAATTAAAGATTAAGAAGGGTGAAAAAGGGAGGAAAGACGAGATTTTTTTTAACACTGACTCAAAATCAAACTTTTTTTTCTTGCTCTCTAAAGTTTGCGTTTTATTTTCTGATTCTGTTCACAT